TCATCCAGAAAGACTTGAACCTTTGGCAAAGAAGGTGGATCGAGTATTTAGAAGACTATGATTTCACACTCAATTACCATCCGGGGAAGGCGAATGTAGTAGCGAATGCACTGAGTAGAAAATCTCGGGGTGAAATCAATTCCTGTGTGGTGAATAGGTGGAAGATGATGGATGCTTTGGGGGAATTTGATCTATGGATGGATGGATAGACAGGAGGATCGACCATGCCTATTCAATCTTGTAGCTCAACCGATGCTTCGACAAAGGATTGTGGCACTGCAACAAATAGACAGCAAGTTGGAGGCTATACGGAGTAAATTGGAGAGGAGTGAGATTGTTGAGAATTGGGCAATAAGTGATGATGAGTTGCGGTTTTGGGGAAGGCTATGTGTACCCGATCATGACCAAGTAAGGGAAGAAGTGTTGGGCGAATGCCATCGTTCCAAGTTCTCCATACATCTAGGTAGTACCAAAATGTATAGGGACATGAAGCAGCAGTATTGGTGGAAGGGAATGAAGAAGGATGTGGCTAGATACGTTTCAAAATGTGTGGAGTGTCAGCAAGTGAAGATTGAACATCAAAAACCCAGATGACTACTACAGTCCTTGCCTATTCCAGAGTAAAAATGGGATCACATCACCATGGACTTCATGTCGGGTTTACCACGGACGTCGCAGGGGCGTGATGCAGTATGGGTCATTGTGGACACCAAATTCGCTCATTTATTGGGAATGAAGACCACGAACACTTTAAAGACCTTGAGTAAGCTCTATATCCATGAGATTGTGTGATTACATGAAGTTCTGCTCTCGATTGTTTCAGATCGCGATTCTTGATTTGTGGCGCAATTTTGGGAAGGTCTACAACGAGCTATGGGGACAGAGTTACACTTCAACATAGCTTTCCATCCCCAAACGAATGGCCAATCCGAGAGGGTAATACAAATCTTGGAAGATATGTTACGAGCTTACGTGTTAGACTTCAAGGGAAGCTGGAGTGATCATTTGTCGTTGGTGGAATTCGCATATAACAACAGTTTTCAATCTAGCATCTGCATGACACCTTATGAAGTGTTGTATGGAAGACCTTGTAGATCACCAACTTGTTGGATAGAATTTGGGGAGAGTAGTTTGTTTGGGCCAGAGATTGTTCGGGAGACTACGGAGAAAATCAAACTCATTCGGGAAAGACTACGCATGGCTCAAAGTAAACAGAAAAGCTAGGCGGATAGAAGAAGAAGACCCTTAGAATTCCAAGAGGGGGACTACGTATTCCTCAAGGTGTCACCCAAGAAGGGAGTGTTTAGATTCAGCAAGAAAGGGAAATTAGCACCAAGATATATCAGACCATTCGAAGTGATCAAAGGTGGGCAAAGCGGCGTATCAACTTCAGTTACCAACTCAACTATCAGAGGTACATGACATGTTCCATGTCTCAATGTTGAGGAAGTGTCAATCAGATACAACACAGGTCGTGGATTTGGAAGATATTGAAGTTCAAGATGGAGCAACATATGAAGAACAACCGGTGAAGATTCTCGATACCAAGGAAAAGGTATTTCGCAATAAATTCATCCAACTGGTGAAAGTCTTGTGGCAACATCATGAAATGGAGGAAGCTACTTGGGAACCAGAGCTAGAGATGTGAGAGAAGTACCCTCATTTGTTCGCTACTTAAGATAATTTTCGAGGACGAAACTTCTTCAAGAGGGGTGGATTGTAAACTCCCTCATTCGTATTAGCAAATATAGCAACTTAATCATGTTTTTGAAATGCTAATATCGTAATGGAGTAAACGTGAACTAAGTAGATTGTAAGAATAGAGATAAAAATGTTAATAGTGTAGAATCGGGTAAATGTTTAGTTAGAACTTAGTTTTGGCTTATAAATATAGAAAATTGTTTACAATAGAAGTTGTACCAACTAGGTTTGATGTCCAAAAGTAGGTTGCATAAGTTTGGGTTGGAGTTGGAAAGGTTAGAAATGGATTGAAAATCGAAAACAATTGAAACAAGTGAAAATGGACAGAAGCAGGCAAAGCATACCGGTATGTGTATCGGTACGGCTCTGTCCAAAGAACATACCGTACGGATACGACACAAACCAGTAGCCATACCGTACTGGTATGCCTGATAGATTCCAGAAATTTTTAAGTCGCAAATAAACGGTCCTCCTTCTACTATAAATACCTAAAGACGTCTCATTTAGCCTCATTTCAACACTTCAAACCCTAGAAAACCTTAAAGAGGAAGAAAGGAAGAGAATAACACAAGATAAAAGGGAATTTGCGCCTTGGATTGAATCAAAACCCTAGATTTCTTCAAGAACACCAAGGTAGGGGTTTCCTCCCATTCTTGTACATTGAGGCTAGGGTTTACTTATATGTATTCTTTTGACATTAAATCTTATACATATGTTATGAAATCATTATTCCTTGGTCTTTTGCAATTACTATCATGTTTTAAACAAAGTTAGGGTTGGATACCCATGAAATCTCTTCCTCTTGCTTTAAAACCCTAGTTTTTGGGAAACGTGGATTTCTCCCTCTACATTCACTTGAATTTAGTTTTGAAATCTTAGTGCTTTGTGTTTAGTATCAAAATGATATTGATGATGATCTCCTGCATTTTCTTCAATTGTCTATTGAAATGCCACATGTGAAAATGAGGATTTATGGAATTGTTTGTTATTTGAGAAATTGTTGGTATTGTATCTCTTGTGTGGTTGTGGGATAAACATGGGCTAATATTGACCGGGTATCTTGGAGTGTGTAAACGCCTTCTTACTCAGTGTGGGTTTGAACTTTTCCTACCACTCGTAGTGGGGTTATTGCCTTGCGAGAACTAAACCATTATCGCTCACGGGGTATCGTGGAAAAAAGGATTTGTGTGTGGGTTGTACGTGGGCCATAATATTTTCGGTGGTAACCATGCGAGGTCTTATTTCATACCAGAGATACGAATACCATGGTGTGTTATTGTTCATTGTACCAAAATGGTTTCTACAAGAATTTTCGGAAGTATGACATTTCGCAAGAACTTGGGAGAAACGGTTTATGGTGGAATGGATTACTAGTCGTATATTGGTTTCACTTATGCATTAGATTACTACTGTTGCTTACACTTGAGATCTGTTTAAATGTCACTGTTTTATTTCAAAATTAATATATGCTATTTGTGAAAGGTGACCGACCATTTTTACATGTTTTTCTAAACCTTGTTCGAATTTGGGAGGAATATTGTTACAGAGCTTAGTGCTCACCCCCTACAAATTATACATTTTTCAGATTGTGGTCTAGAGGAAGTGCACGGAGTTAAGGAACCGAGACATTAGGAAGCTCCGTTAGACAGGTTCAAGGATCCCAAGGTAGAGGTCTATGAGTATACTCTCCTAGGTGCTAGGCTAGGAAATTTCTTTTGAGATTATGTAAAGGTCAACATTTTGCTATTATGCTGCCAAGTTTGAATTTAATTCTTTTGGGGATGTAATTGCCATAGTTAATCATATTCTTTTGGGATGATGATGTAAATCTTATATATGATGAATAAAATTTTCTTTTGTTGGGAAGTTTGTTAGTTGCTCTCATGATGTGAATGGTTTCTAGATTGTAACGCCGTCCAAGGTGGTCTTTGGGGCGTTACAATGGTAGTGTCAAATTCTTTTCTACCAAAATCCTTTCCAACAATAGGTTTTAACTCCAAAATATTTCCTAACTTCTAATACACCCCATATTACCTCTCCCAAGGTTTCTCAACCTCCCGGATTCAATGGAAATTTTATTTTGAACTAAAAATATTTACAAAATTACTTAGCCGTACTTTTCAATCCAAACATCTCCAAAACTCTATTTAACTCAATGTAAATACACGCAAAACTCAGACTTTGTAGTCAATCTTTCAACTATGATTCTAAGTTTCTATCATCCTTTTATTCGTCTTAGGAGAACTCTTAGGATAATATTATTCTTCTTTCCTTTTAATACATGATCTTACAAGCATAGAGAACCTCTATCATTGCCCTATCAATAGTAGTACCTGTGGAACTAGTATAAGAAGAAAAATTTACATTTATCAAGTTTATTGGAAGGATCGAATATCTTTCCTCTCTGCTTAGGCGAGGCTCTGGAGTGATCTGACGTAGACATAAGGGCTACAAATTGTTTGGTAGGATGATCACTTACAGCTTGGAGCCTACTCTCTTGCTCCGCAAATAATACAGGTGGAGCTGCAAAGGAACCCAACATGCGGTAAGTACGAGAGGGATATAGCATTTAGACATAAAAGTAAGGGGAAAACTCCTACCTAACTTGGTCTTTGGGAGACTATCCCACCTTGAGGGCATCAAATCAAGGTTCTCTTCAGCAACCCACTCACCTTCAATGAAGAAAAACCTGGACTTCCAACTATGACAGTTCGAGGGCAATCTAGTAATCAACTTTCCCGGACATGGGGTAAAACGATACCATCCCTGATGAGGAGCAGGATTATCCAAAAGCACGTATAAGGTCAAGAACACCTCGAAGGGGGGAGAAACGCCCTCACCATGGACTAGCCTCCATAATGAAAAGAAAGTCAGAAGTACCCTCCAACCGTTTGGAGTCAACCTCCCTAGGGTAAGTGACAAGTGGCCTAGAATCCGACATATAGGCCCAAATATGAGAAACCTTAGCCCTGCCTCCAAGACATCCTCATAGAAAATAATTTCTTCTAAGGAATCATAACATGCTGACTCGTCCTTCTTATCCCGGCAGCACATAACAAAAGGAGGGATGTGGAACGAAGGTACAATACAAACAATGTCATCATCGTAATCTATGGAAATGAAGATAGCGATTACCTTCGAACCATCAGTGTCAGTAGTTCCCTTGCCTCGCTATGAATCTTGTGTAGCATTCTTCATCACGCCTTTGTCAGAATGGGTGCCTGCCAAAAATCAAAGCCAATGTCAAGATGAAGTCAAGGGAATGAAAATACCAAGTGAATGCCAAAATTACTAGAATGTCAAAGGGCGAGCAGAGTCACCTTACCTAGTGAAAAGACATCACGCTCTCCCCACTTGGTAAAGCCCAGGATGTCACCTTCACCACGTGGCTCCCCATCAACGTTGCTAGCATCTAGAGCACCATTGCCTAGCATCCCAAGGAGTCGCCTGGCACCGCTCAACTGCTCACCGAGTCTTCGGGCACCGCCTGATGATTTGTCATGAAGACTAGCGTTGCCCAATTCGTTGCGAAAGTTGGCACCACCTAGCGGCTCTCGCAAAGATGGGCACCCTCGTCTAGCTAGACTTCTCAGGCTTCGTCGCTCGTAGGGCCCCTCCCCCTAGCGTCTCCTCCTAGGCCAAGGTGTCACCCGCTAGTGCCCAGACGTTGCTTAGCGCTACCCAACACCCCGCTGGCATCGACACCTCCGCTCGGTGTCACCCTTTGCTGTCACGCCCCATCCCAGTCTCCCAAGGATGAGACGCGACTAGTTCTTTGATACACCTTTTTACATATATATAATCTAGATTAATAAAACACTAATTAATTTTACAGGTGCAACAATACCACCCATCACCTTAGTTAATAAGCATTATGGTAAATCTGTCTCATAACCTGTATCATATATAATACATATACCAATTGTTTGTTTTCGAGGTTATAGACAGATACAAAATCCCCCACCCATATAGCATACATCACAAAATATGTCTGTTGAGTCTCTTTACAAATATATATACTATTAACCTGCTATAATAATCTCTCATTTAACATAACATACAACCCAACAAATAATTATACAGTCCGTCAACCAGTATCATTTACTCATTTAAAACTAAATACATAACAAACAGAATATCATACTAATGTTGTACAAAACTCAACCCTTTTGACAGTGGACTGATCTGTCTCCCTCTCTTGTACCTGAAAATGAGAAGCTATAGGGGTGTGAGTTAAAACATGCACTCAGTGAGTATACATGCTGTATATGAAATAAAAATTATAGTAATACACTAAAATAGATAGATATTATGTAGGTACACGTATCAAACAACAACATCAATCCAATTCCAAAGAATTCACAAGCCATATCACATCCATACTACCCCTCATCGGGTAATCGATCCCACATGGATCCGTGTTTCCCAAACCTCTCAAAAACATCACAATGCTAGCACACCACTGCACGCCTAGTGATCAAGCATCGATGCTCCTATCTCAAACAGTAAATCACATTCCACAATACACAATACACAGTACAAAGCATCATCCAATCACATAAACACATAGCACATAATTATGGAGAAATGCAATTAAATTATATCATTTAATATTATCTCATAATAATATTTTTAAAACATATAAAGATATACACCCACCTCAAATATACCGATCTACGACACTTCGGTTCTATCGATGGATCCTTTTAGTGTTATCGTATCTGTTCCAACAGTCACTGTCTCACCCGTTGCACCTAACACATTTGCAATTACAATATCAATATGTTTATCACATTTAATAATTAATCATGCACTAATGCATGCAAGATGATTCAACTCAAAGTGCCCCGGTAACCCCGGTTACAACATTGTTCACTCATATACGGGGGCACATTAGAATTAGGGATCATATTTCTTCCCCAAATCTTCAAAATTACTCACATTAATCACAATTAGGATTAATTAGGTTAAACACATTTACCGGGGCACATTATTACACATTTCGACCCCGAATCCTAAAACTGCATGGCATTTCATACATTTCGCACTAGATATTATTTTCATTTGCATTTGAAATTTACATTATCACATCAAGCATCAATCAAAAATGCAACATGCAAAATTTTAGGTCATTTGGATTAAAATTCACACATGTAATAATAATATTTAGAAATCAAAGTTTCAGCATTACCGGCACTCATTTCCAATTTTTGTTGTACTTTTCTTTTAAAACAATCACGCTTAAACCCACACACTCATTAAATCATGCAAAACAACCCTTTAATTGAACCCTTAAACTCTCAATTTCACTCCCATAATTTTGGTTTCAACCTAGTCCACAAAAAGCATCCCGATTGAATACCCATTCAAGACCCATAAATTATGTTCAACACACTTAAATAAACCCACAAAAAAATCTGTTTTGAAATTAAACTAAAACAGTTCACACATATACACAAATACTTAAAATTAATCACACACACACACACACACACACTAAAATGAACACACACACACCCTTACCTTCTTTTTTTCTTCTTGTTTTTGGTTTGGCATGGAGTCCCCCAAGTTCTTCTTTCTTCTTTTTTTTTCTTCTTCCTCTCCTTTACTCTCCCTCACTAACGGTTTGAACACACCAGAACACACACACACACACACACACACTAGTTTGTCTTTGAAACACACTCACTTTACTACATGTTAACGTACACACACACACACTTTACTACACCTTAAGACACACACACACACACATGCACTTGACTTTTTCAAAATGACCCACCACCTTAGCCTTGACACATGTGTAAAATTTAATAATTCTATTTGCCTCCCCTAAATTCTTAAATGATTTTAAAATCAACCCAATACTATTTTTTGTACACAAAATTTCATCTAATAAATAATTTCACATAATTACAATTACTCCACATAATTATGCTAATATATATGTAATGCATGATCGAGTCTCACATCTGCACCTGCATTTATCGCGCCCTCAATGTAGACCTCTGTGCTTGGCATTGTTGTGCCTCATTTTCTTCCTCCGACGTTGCCAACTGAAATCGGGGCATCACCCAATTCACTGTTGCCGCCGACGTCACCACCGACTCCCAAGGCGTGCCTGTTGCGGCCGTTGCCCCCTGCTTCGCCACAGGCACCGCCAAGCATCGGCTTTGGGTCGTATTTGGCCTTGCATTTCTTCTCCCTTGTTGTGGCTTCCCACATAGACCCAACCAAGGAACCCTCCATTCGTCATCTTCCCGCTAGTCTCCATGTCTCTCTTCTTGAACCTCTCTCAAGGGTTTTATGGATTGAAGGAGGTGAAGGGTACCTCTGAGCCCTAGTTCCAAAGAAATTTTTTTGGGTAAAATGGGAGTGCTCTTTAAAGCCCTAAAGATGGTGGCCCAGATAAAAAAGGGGGTTTTACTGCCGAGTTTAACGAGAGACCCAGTAAAGGGGATGATGGTTGATAAAATGGGTGCCCAACAATGGTCTTACTGAATAAGGAAAGAGGCTTTGTGAGAATAAAAAATGGAAAGCAAAAGAGGCTGCCATGGGGAACAAGAAACCTTTGTCTATCCAAATGAAGGGGCTCATTTATACCTTTAACCTTTTTTGCCACAATTGGAGCTTAGGGCATGGAGGGCAAATGATGAGGCCAGATCCATCTGGGGTAGGCCCGGTTAGTGGGTTAAGCCCAATTAGCTAAAAAAAACAGGTCCAACTTAGCTAAAGGGCTCAGCCTAGTTTAAATTTCAAGAGACCCAGGAAAGTTAACGCATGTGGAGAGTAAATATCGGGATAATCATTAATTGAAAATAGCACATATCCTTAATTGTATCTCACATACACCACACTTTGAGCTTACTTTTGCTTCTCTCTCTCTCTCTCTCTCTCTCTCTCTCTCTCCCTTTCTCTTTCTCTCTCTCTCTCTCATTAATAAAGTTTTTTGCCCACCTTTGCCGCCTGTAGTGGTTAGATTACCTAGGCCTAACCACCAAATCTTTGCATTTTATTATTAATTGTGTCATTAATTACCTTACATCATACACTCGAATGATTTGATTGTGCATAACCTATTTTATGCATCATCAATGGTAGTGGTGATGATGGTGGGGCGGTAGTGGTGGGACGATTCCAAGCACTAGTTTTTTTTTTAAAGTACTTTTGAGAAATTATAAGTCCTAAAATCATTTTTAAAAAAAAAAATTTTCTAACACACCCTTAGTGTACTATTTTTCTTATTAAATTTGGGGTAGTAATATTAGCTGTAAAATTAACTTTAAAGAAAAATTTAAGAGATGTCAACCAAAAAAAGTAAAAATTATTTTGTTTATCTTTTGAAATTTTAATTATTTTGTACTTTATTATATAATTAATAATAAAAATATATTAAAAAAAAATTTGAATGATGGTTGAGGTGACGAATTGGAGGAAGTTGTATCCTATTTTGCATTTTTATTTTTTTAGAATTAGACTAGGAAACATTGTTCTGCCAGGACCGGTCTCCATGTACCCATTTTTTTAAAAGATAAGTCGATGGTAGTTAACTATCACAAATTAACGTGCACGAAACTTGTCTAAGTCCCAAATAATTGAAATTTTTAAGATTATTTAAAAGTTTTTTTAGAACACTCAATTTCCACCTATCATGTAATTATTATGAATTGTAGTTTTATTTCTTTATGTTAAATTTGAGGCCCTTTCTATTTGGGTTGAATATTTTACTTAATTTTCTTACAACACACATCTACATATACATACAATTAATAAGAGTACATTATTAAAAATTATTTTTGATTGACTATTTTACCCCTAAAATAAAATTTAAAGACAACACTAGCCTTACTTAATCTATAACTCATATTAATAATACTTGATTAATGTTAAATTTTTAGTTGGACCACTTTATTCTCACAATAAAGATAATGCTAATATTATTAATATGTAATTCATATTAATACAACTTTATTAATGTTACACATATCCAAGTCTTTCATATTTTTTCTTTTAAAAGGCAAAAGTTACTTGTTAAAATAATTAAATTTATTTTTATTTATGTCTTCTATTTTCATTAGTTGATGAAAAGTTTATGAATTTTTGAATAAAATTGTATAAAAGGCACTAGAGTCTTATTTAGTATAAGATTTATTATCATATAATTTGGATAATATTATCAAACTCTAACTTTTCATTTTCTTCTCTTTTTATGTTTAGTTTTCATACATCCTCTTTAGTCATATTGCGAATATTACAACCCATTTGGTGCTGATGAATAGCAATGATGTATGGTGCATAAAAATAAAATCCTTTTGGGTCCATGTGATTGGCACCTTTTACCTACTCCATTATTGTTTCTTAACATACACTACTGCAACACCAAACAGAAAGCAAAAATTGTTGTTTAAGGCTAAATTTTAAATGTAATTGAACTTTGTGATGATCAAAGAACGCCATGTCATTGTCATTCCTTACTAGATTGGTGAAAGCCTTCAACTTGTTTGGAACATCTTAAGCGAATGTTTATACAAACTATATATTAATGTCCCTCGACTGATGGTAAAGTCTATGTATTAAATATTTTCTAATTTGAATGAATTAATGTTTAGCATGATCGGTGTGGTGTATACATATTGATTAATCGGGACATACAAATCTAATGCTTTTGAAACCATGTACTAGGTAACCTTAACCGGGTGTTGGCCCTACATATAGCGACCAAGTCCGCTGCCTAAGGCCCCCTTAAATGAAATTTTGAGGCTTAAATGAAATTTTTAAGATTGCTTAAAATTTTTTTAGAACTCTCAATTTCAACCTATCATGTAATTAGTAATAATTGTAATTTTCTTTCTTAAGTTAAATTTAAGGCCCTTTTCATTTGGGTTGGATATTTTACTTAATTATTTTTTTACAACACACAAAATGACTAAAAGCCAAAAATGGACTACTCCTACTCACTATCTAAATTTAATTAGCACTGTAATTGTCTTGCTAAATTTTCGCTTTTAAACAAGAGGCTTTTCTACAATCTTTCATCTATATCGCATTTACTTCGTAAAATTAACTTATACCAATTCTTACGATTCTTTCTTTGAAAAATTATATAGCTACCACAAATAAAGTTTAAATTCTCTTTCTATAGGTATTCAACTAATAACCCATTTAATTACATTTGGCCTTCAAATTTAATTTCAATCAATGAATTTTTTATATGCAAAATTTGAGGGCAAAGATTGAATTACAAATAAGAAAAATGTTTCTCAACAAATAAGAAAAATATTTTTCAAATGGTATAGGACAATCATGTCATTATATTTCGTCATATATTAAGGCCTCATTTAATCTTTTTTGCCTAAAACCCCTATTTATGTCTGCTTGTCCTGACTTCACCTTATGTACCTGCTCTCCATTGTTTCTCAAGATACACCGCACAACCAAAATAAAATAAAAAATTAAGAAGAATTATATTCAGACCTCTTGATATTTAAAATATTACATACAGACCCCTAATATTTGTATGTGTGTAACACTTAGACCCCTGTCGTCAATGTTCGTTAGTATATCTGTTAGTAAATTAAACTCAAACCCCCTAAATTTTATAAGTGTGTAATATTTAGACACCTCAAGTTTAAAATGTTATACTTAAATAAAAAAAATACGCCAATCCAAAATAAAATATTAAATGTGTTAAATTTTTCAACTAAAATTTATGTCCTATATATTATGACATTTATTGAAATAAAATTAAAATTAAAATTTTAATTTTTTTCTTAAAAGAATATAATTCATATACAATTGTACTATCTATTAAAATTTAATTTGATTATTTAAAAGACTAAATTAAACTACCAAATTACCCTAATTAAAGTTAGAAGATATTGTATCTATTATAGTTTGACCATTTGTTTGATTTTTTTATTTTGTTTTAATAGATAGTATAATTGTGTATTAGTTATGATTGTTTAAGAAAAAAATTAGATTTTTATTTTTAATATTTTTTCAATAAATGACATAATAGAATATGAATTTTAGTTGTAAAATTCATGTTCTATTATGAACGGCTTAGACCACTTTTTTGATTTTTTGGTTTTATTGCAATAGATAGTATATTAATTACGATTTTAAGAAAAAAAAATAGATTTTTATTTATGATTTTATTTCAATAAATGATACAATTGAACATAAATTTTGATTGTAAAATATAAAGTATTTGATATTCTATCTTTGATTGAAATATTTTTGGTCTAAATATAACATTTTAAACTTGAGTTGTCTTAGTATTATACATTTATAAACTTCAAAGAGTTCGAATGTAATTTACTAACGGATATATACTAACGAACATTAATGACAGAGGTGTAAGTGTTACACTTGTACAACCTTCAGAGGGTCTGTGTGTAATATTTTAAATGTTATGAGGTCTAAGTGATTAAGTGACAGACCTCAGGGGGTTTGGATGTAATTTTCCCAAAAAATTATTTTGTAAAACTTATTTTTAAATGTCATTGAATTTTGTCATGATCGAAGAATGCCATGTCAGAAAACCAAAGATTAATATTATCATATTAAACAAATGTATATATATAAACTATGAGCAATGCTATTTACACCTAATCTATTAATTTAATTTGTTAATTTAATTAGTCATTATCATTGAATTAAAAAATAAAAAATAAAAAAATTATTGAATTGATTGTAAAACCTAACATTACTTGAGATCCTTTGTCAATCTAATAACTATTGTAGGATCTTAAAAATAATAAAACTCTCAAAATATTCTCATACACACAAAATAATTAATCAAAAAACGGATAAAGAATCATTCAAAAAAATCATGAAAGACAAGGAATGATGATAGATACAAGAAACAACAGCTTTAGTGACAAATTATAAAAGTTGTCACAAATAATTTAGGTATTTAGTGATGATTATATATCAATGAATCACTCCCAATGACAACAAACTTTGTCGCCACTAATATTATCAATCCAAAAAAAGTTTTTTACTGTTGAAATGTATTGATATTAATTAGTATCTCTCAATCATTACTGACGGATTTTTTTGTTTAAGAAAGAAAATTACAATTCATAATAATTACATAACATGTTGAAATTGAGAGTTCCAAAATTTATTTTGAGCAATCTTTAAAGGGCAATGTTACGTGAATTTAAAAAATAAATTTGATAATTACAATTATTGATTTTATTATGGATCCCAGTATTTATTTAGATCAACTTCTTATTATCAAA